AAGAACAAAAAATACCTTAAAAAAAAAAAGAAAACAATACCTTGAAAAAAAAGGAAAAAAATGGCTTCACCAGATGTAGCACTAAGCTCATTTCTTTCTGTACAAGGCAAATATTTAAAATAAACACTTAAACACATCATGAAAACACAAACAACTAGAGACAAAGACAGCGGCCCCGGGGACTTTATCACATGTTTCTTACTTTTGATCATATTTTTTGAATATATGGTATTTTTAATAACTACATACATATGGAAAATGAACTGTAGAACCATCCAAACATCCATTTCCTTCCGCTTTATCTGTTGCCGGGTCACAGGGGCAGCAGTCTGAGCAGAGACACCCAAAGCAGCCCATGTACCACTGACTGTACATGCACCACACTTTGAGAAACACTCATTCAAACAAAACGGAACCCTCTTTGTATCATTCTAGCAATCTGGAGATACTACACAGACGAAATCTGATTAAATGGAGTCTATTCATTTATTTCGTTGGCACCCAAGCATCGGCAGATCATTCATGCCGCTTATAATCCCCCGGGACCTAGGTACTGGTTGTAGCATGAGGTCCGGGTACTAGAGGCATGTGGTCCGGGTACTAGAGGCATGTGGTCCGGGTACTAGAGGCATGTGGTCCGGGTACTGGAGGCATGTGGTCCGGGTACTAGAGGCATGTGGTCCGGGTACTAGAGGCATGTGGTCCGGGTACTGGAGGCATGTGGTCCAGGTACTAGAGGCATGTGGTCCGGGTACTAGAGGCATGTGGTCATGCCGAGTACTAGAGGCATGTGGTCCGGGTACTGGAGGCATGTGGTCCGGGTACTGGAGGCATGTGGTCCGGGTACTGGAGGCATGTGGTCCGGGTACTAGAGGCACGTGGTCCGGGTACTGGAGGCATGTGGTCCGGGTACTGGAGGCATGTGGTCCGGGTACTAGAGGCATGTGGTCCGGGTACTAGAGGCATGTGGTCCGGGTACTGGAGGCATGTGGTCCAGGTACTAGAGGCATGTGGTCCGGGTACTAGAGGCATGTGGTCATGCCGAGTACTAGAGGCATGTGGTCCGGGTACTGGAGGCATGTGGTCCGGGTACTGGAGGCATGTGGTCCGGGTACTGGAGGCATGTGGTCCGGGTACTAGAGGCACGTGGTCCGGGTACTGGAGGCACGTGGTCCGGGTACTGGAGGTGGCATTAGAGTGAAGTTGAGATTAGAGCGTGTCTAGGAGGAGGCGGTGGTTGCAAAGTGTGAGTAGACAAAAGTAACTCCTCCAGAACAAACTCCCTACGAGGCTCGGAAAGAAGGAGCACTACCGCAAGGCCTTCATCCCCACCGCTGTCAGACTGTACAATGAGTCACTAATGCACTAGGACTGAAAAACCTGCACTACTATTGCCATAATTATATCCTGAACAGACTATATTTTTTGCCTTTAACATGTCTGTCTTTTGCACAATCTGAGTGACTATATCTGTGCCAAACATGACATGTACATTTCTCCATCAGAGATCAATAAAGTCTATCTTATCTTATCTTATCTTAAAAGGGGTTAGATGTTGGGAAGTTTCTGCTTTTAACCAGCTGGCTTATTTGGCGTAGGTTGGCAGTGCGGTGTGATTGGCTGACAGTGAAGGCTTTGATGAGCTGCAGCAGGTAGTCCACCAGACTGAACCTCCACAGGCTTCATTTCTCTGATCTGTTGTTGGCGAACGACAGCTTTGTAAAGTCCTCAGAGATAACTACTGCTGTGATCTAGGGCTAAACACACTGTACATGGAGTTGAATTTCAATCCTCTCTCTTCCTTGTCTTGCAGATTATTAGTTTATTAAATGTCTTCACACCACAGAAATCTTTAGAGGAATTCCAAGACGTGTAAGTAACAAAAAGTCCAAGTCCATTTCTCACAAAACTATAAATATCTGTGTATTTTCTTGACAAATGTACGCGCTCTCCTTTGTTTTCAGATACCTAGTGATGGAGTTGATGGATGCCAACTTGTGCCAGGTGATCCAGATGGAACTGGATCATGAACGAATGTCCTACCTGCTTTACCAGATGCTGTGTGGAATCAAACACCTGCACTCCGCCGGCATCATCCACAGGGTACACACACTTTTATTGTACATAAGTATATCCTGCAGAACATCAGCCTGCCCAGGGACTATGGTGGGAATGATCTCTTATCTTAGCAACATGTTCTGAAGTTTAATACATAATCGTTCCGTATTCACAGTATTCACAGATAGCACTCTCGTCTCTCAGCAAGAATATTCTGGATTTAAATCCCCATGGGAATGGGGTCTTTCTGAGTGGAGATTGCATGTTCTCCCCGTGCTTGTGTAGGTTTCCTCCAGGTACTCTGGTTTCCCTTACCACAAAAAACATGCACACTAGGTTAAATCCTCCAGCTCTGGTCCTGACCAAGCCAAGCATCAACCTCTGGGCGCTGTTACTATGGCAACCACTGCTCCTGACGTAAGCCTTAGTGGCATCAGGATGGGTCAAATGCAGAGGATGAATTGCCCTATGGGGATTAATAAATTGCACCTTTACCTTGATCCAGGGGACACTGGACTACAGGGCGATGGTGGCCTGGAACTCACTGGTCCAGTTTCTTACAGTTGGGATTTGAATTTTACTATTCACTGAAGAATGGAATTCATTTGTTATTTTGTTTATTTTTGAGGGGTATTTTTTGAGTTGCATTTAAATTTTTTGGATAGTGATATAAATACAGTGCAATGTTTCAAATGTAATGTAGAAATGTGTGTTTGTGTGTGTGTGTAGTTACTGTGTATTTTTGTTATAACATTTCTGTATTTTTCTGTACAGTATGCCTATATTTTGTTTGTACATTCATTCAGTCCATTGTACATTTGTTTTTTTTGTGACAATAATGAGTATATAGACCCCAGAAAGAAAAGCTACTGTATATTTCAGCGGAAATAACAGCAAATAACAGCGAGAGTGTCCTGGGTTCGATTCCTATAGTGTATATTGTGAGTAGCCTTAACGCAGAAGAAGCCGTTTTGAACATAAGCTAGCTGGAGCCCGTTTTTAAAATTATTATAAACAATGGTACGTGTGACACTAACGGTTACTATACGAGAGGAGTTTACTTTTCAATGTAAGTCAATAGGAGCCAGAGAGAGTAGGAGCAAAACTCCATCCATGAGCACTTCCCTATTGAGCTTCATTGAGCTAGCAGTTTAGCATCGTCCATCTATATACAGTCTGTAAGTCTGACATATTTTGCGACCAGTTTTATTGTTTAACTGGAAATAGTAAATGAAGTAATGTTCTTTGTTTCCATTGTCTGTCAACACCAGTCCACCCATCCATTTTCTTCCGCTTCATCCGTCGCCGGGTCACGGGGGCAGCAGTCTGAGCAGTTCTACCTGTGCTATACCAATAACCATGCTTGACCTTCTCCCACTTCTCTGTCGTCTTCAGGATCTAAAACCAAGCAATATCGTAGTGAAGTCGGACTGCACTCTGAAGATCCTGGACTTCGGTCTGGCCAGGACCGCGGGCACCAGCTTCATGATGACGCCCTACGTGGTGACCCGGTACTACAGAGCCCCGGAGGTCATCCTGGGAATGGGGTACAAAGACAACGGTACGAGATAGGAGATCGGGAATGGACGGTTTTAGATGCAAAGAATACCGTAAGAATGTGAGAAATTAAACTTTTAGGGATAAATGGACCTACAACCACATTAAACCTCAGACTGTTGTGGTGTAGGGTTCACAGCGAGAAGGTCCTGGGTTCGATTCCGGCTTTTTGTGTGGAGTTTGCATGTTCTCCCCATGTCTGCGTAGGTTTCCTCCGTGTGCTCCGGTTTAATTTCAATTTCAATTTATTCATGGGAAGCCCCTTGAGTTGAAGCTTCTCATTCGAGAGGGCGACCACAAAACATGAGCCGAAAGGTCAGTCTCCATCCCCTCCCTCTCCTCTGGACATGAGCTTTGGGTAATGACCGAAAAGATGAGATCACGGATACAAACGGCCTAAATATGTTTTGCAGAGTGGAGGGGGGGGAGCTCCTCCTCAGTCACACAGGAGGAGCTCGGAGTAGAGCCGCTGCTTCTCCACGTCGAGAGGAGCAAGTTGAGGTGGCTCGGGCATCTGTTTTGGAGGCCTCCTGTGTCTCTCAGCTAGTCTGGGAACGCCTCAGGATTCCCCCAGATGAGCTGGAGGAAGTGTGTGTGGATAGAGATGAGACCCAGAAACAAAAAAAGACAAAATAAATGGATGGATATGTTTTGTGAAAGAAACTATAAATAACAGGAAGAGCATTTATAACTTTATTTATTAATATTATATTATTGTTGTGATTACCATTATTATTATCATTTGGAAGTGTGTGTGGAGAGGGAGGTCTGGGCGTCTCTGTTCAGACTGCTGCCACCACCACCCGGCAACAGATAAAGCGGAAGGAAAATTAATGAATGAATGGAAATAATCAAAATTTTAGGTGTAATTTAGAAAGACCTCCATAAAAGTAGGAGATTCCCGGCCCCTTTTCATTATTAATGCTTTTTCTGCCATAACAATTCTAATCTTGTTCAGACTTTTGCACCAGTTTTTCTTTCTTTATTTTCAGCCGAACTGAAAATGTCCAACAGTGAACTCCCTGATTGCCCTCGGCGGCTCAGCTGTCAATCACTAACCACTCTCTCTCTCTCTCTCTCCTTCCCTCTTCTCCTCTTCTGCTGATCCTGGATTTGCTTTTCCTCGAGTGCAGTGGATATTTGGTCGGTGGGATGCATCATGGGAGAGATGGTGCGCCATAAAATTCTCTTCCCGGGGAGAGACTGTATCCTTCTATAAAAAAACAGAAAAAAAATTATATTTATCTAATCTTTAATTCAAAAGGTTCATATAAAACAAAAATAGAGGCGTTGTAATAAATATTTTATTAGCAAATTTGTAAACATTGAATTCCCTTTGTTTAGACTTACCTCATACGTCTAAAATAACTCTTAGAACTAGTCAGTAAAACACTAATATGCGTTTTTTAAGCTGGACAAACTGTGTATTTGTAAATTATCATGTATTGTTTGTTGTTGTTCTTTGTTCTTGTTTGCCATGGCTCGAAATGAGGTATTCATTCATTCATTCATTCATTCATTCATCCACAGACTCTCCATAGAGCTGAGTGAAGCATTGCGTTTATTTACTGCCTGAAATATACAGACCTATCCCCACCGAGGCCCATTTAATGTTTTTATTATTATTATTTTCATCACTTTAAGGTGAAGTAGCTAATTTATGTGTTTAATAAATCATTTTGAACGAATCAAACGAACAGCATCTGCCTTTGTCTGATTAGAAACATGTCATCCTTTCACTTTTATAAGAGCATAACACTTTGATCAGAGCCGTGGGAGTCAATATTGACGCTTAGGGCAGTGAGCTTATTGGGGGAGTGGTTAGCTCTTCTCGTTCAGTGGCTAAAGCTAAAAACGTTAACTCGTGATGTACCAACCGCTTTTGAGAACAATGTTTATGGGTGTATCTACAGTAAACCTTCAGATCATAGTTTGGACATTGCACTTTTCTTCTCAAGAACTAAGTAAAAAAATACGTTTCACTGACGGCACTGTGGCTGAGTGGTTAGCCCCGGTAGTCCTGACTCCTGACCAAGCTGAGCATCATGGATCCCCAGGTGCTGCTCTTTGTCCTTGGTTGATGATTGTGTCTGGCTCTCAGATAAATCTAAGTCAGTATGAATGTTATGTGTTTAATTTCTTCAGTATACATATTTTTTTAAAGATACTCTGTGTAGTACATCTAGTGTTGAGTTCATTTATTGTAATTTACGGTACTACGGTGGCTTCGCAGAACAATATGTGGTTTTTAACAGTGGTCCCCAACTCCCGCTCAAACTCCTTTTTGTCCCTCATCAACCACTGTATTTTAAAATGGCGCATTAACACAGAGAGTCCTCCAGCCTCAGGCACATTTATAATTCAAATTCTAAGCCTATGACAAAGATTAAAACACATAGTGGAGGTAAATATTCTGAAAAAGGTCACATTTGTTATCATGTTATATCAATTGGAGCAACTGTGAAAATTCCACAGAGCACCTTTAAAAAAGAATACATTCTGAGACTTAGAATATTATTTGGATCGTAATATTAGACATATTCCCAGTTAAAAAATGACTCCCACAGAAAAACTGTTTTTCGCTGTTTTCCCGATCTCTGACAGATGGAAATGCAGGCATACAAAAAAATCAACCTAACTTGCATCTGTAGTCTTAAAGTGAAGGGGTCATAGTGTGATATATACAGAGCAATTCAATACACCATAAAATACATTATCTTGTTGTCAGTTACGACACAGAATCTAAACGCAAAATTCCACACAGCAGATCTCGATAAGATCCATCCTCCATCTTGCATAATTACCATAAATGCATCGCCTCATCCATAATCTGTGACAATGACTTATTATGTCAGAGTGCACGGTTTTTATAAATAATGGATTGTTTTTTCCGTAACCTTGACGCTCGAACCAGACATAGACCAGTGGAACAAGGTGATAGAGCAGCTGGGAACGCCGTCTGCCGAGTTCATGAAGAAGCTGCAGCCCACGGTCCGGAACTATGTGGAGAACAGACCTAAGTACGCCGGGCTCACCTTCCCCAAACTGTTCCCAGACTGTCTGTTCCCCGCTGACTCCGAGCACAACAAACTCAAAGGTGAGACTGATACTGCTGCTACTGATGCTGCTGATACTACTGCTGCTGCTACTGCTACTACATCTTCTGCTGCTCCTGCTTTTGGGGCCACTCCTGCTTTTAATACTGCTGCTGCTGCTACCTCTACTTCTAGTAATTCTGCTGCTTCTACTGATACTGATACTACTAATACTACCGGTGCTTCTACTTCGAATCATACTGCGGCTACTGATACCTCTACTAATACTGTTGCTACAATAGCTGCTGCTCCGACGACTACTGATACTACAGCTGCTGCTACTGCTGCTAATACTGCTGCTAGTAAGGATACTACTGCTACTGCTGCTAGTAAGGATACTGCTGCTACTGCTGCTGCTGCTAATACTGCTGCTAGTAAGGATACTGTTGCCTTTAACACTGATGATGATGCTGGTGGTGGTGTTTCTTCTGCTACTGCTGCTACTGTGGCTGCCATTAATGCGGCTGCTGTTACTGCTGCTACTTCTACTGATACTGCTACAACTACTGCTATACTGCTGCTACTTCTGCGACTACAGATACTACTGCTGCTGCTGCTACTTCTAATACTACTACTACTGCTATGACTTCTACTTCTATTACTACTACTACTGCTATGACTTCTACTTCTAATACTGTTACTGCTACTGCTGTTACGACTTCTACTTCTACTACTACTACTACTGCTGCTACGACTTCGACTGATACTACTTCTACTGGTACTGCGGCTGCTGTTGCTGCTACTTCTACTAATACTAATACTACAAATACTAGTACTTCTACTTCTACTACTACTGCTACAACTTCTACTTCTCCTACTGCTGCTACTACTACTGCTACAACTTCTACTTCTACTTCTACTACCACTACTACTACTGCTACTACTGCTACTACTGCTACTACTGCTGCTGGTGTTATCTGGTGTGTGTCGTCCTCAGCGAGCCAGGCTAGAGACCTGCTGTCTAAAATGCTGATAATAGACCCGGCTAAGCGGATATCAGTGGACGAGGCCTTACAGCACCCCTACATTAACGTTTGGTACGATCCTGCCGAGGTGGAGGCGGTGAGTTCGCCTTATCAACGGACCATTGATCCACTTCTTTCTGTCTTTGATTGGGCAAGTTTGATCTGAGTGATCTTTACATTATTGTATGATTATTATAAAACTGTATGCACTATCTATACTGATTACAAGTTAATATATAAGAATGACATTGTACAGTGTTGCAGAGGTGTCGGATGCATTTTGGTCAGGGGCCGGCAGTGAAATTCAATGTATTTTTGTATAGGTTCATATCATAGCAGGAATTATCTCAAAGGACTTTACAAAACTGTTGATTTGCCAATAACAGATCAGAGAATCAAACCGTTCACAAGAAATGCAATGATAAAAAACACATAGAGCCGTTGGTCCATAAATGAGAGACCAGAGAGCAGAGAGAGACCGGAGAGAGGGACTAGAGAGAAAGATCAGAAAGAAAGGAGACCAGGATGAGAGAGTAGAGAGAGACCAGAGAGACCAAAGAGAGGTCAGAGAGAGACCAGAGAGAGACTAGAGAGAGAGATCAGAGAGAGAGACCAAAGAGAGGCCAGAGATAGACCAGAGAGATAGACCAGAGAGAGGTCAGAGAGAGACTAGAGAGAAAGATCAGAGAGCGAGATCAGAAAGAGAGACCAGAGAGAGGCCAGAGAGAGACCAAAGAGAGACCAGAGAGAGGAGAGAGAGACCAGAGAGAGACCAGAGAGAGAGGAGAGAGAGACCAGAGAGAGCAGAGAGAGAGACCAGAGAGAGAGACCAGAGAGAGAGAGGAGAGAGAGACCAGAGAGAGCAGAGAGAGAGACCAGAGAGAGAGACCAGAGAGAGAGAGAGGAGAGAGAGACCAGAGAGAGATCAGAGAGAGACCAGAGAGAGCAGAGAGAGAGACCAGAGAGAGAGATCAGAGAGAGAGACCAGAGAAACAGAAAATGCAATAATAACAAACGCATAAGAGCCATTGGTCCAGAGGGAGCGCGATAATTGTAGGATAAGAATAATGTAGTAGATGTATAGTGTAGTGCGGCTAGCCTCTAGATCAGAGCCTTGCCGTACTACACGAGTGGGGGATCTGCTTTTATTTTTGGCACCAGCAGAGTTTGAAAACTTCTGCACAGATCCAACTAATTTGCCTCGAATCAGTCTTATAATCTAATAGGTAGTGAATGCGTATATCGGCCAGGGATATCCAAGATTTAACAACACGACGCTGAAGTGATTGAGTTAAAGATAACGGGGTTTATTGACTACAAAAATGAAAATAGAAAATATAACAAAAAGGGTTTCTGGTCACATTAAAGGACAACTCACCCTCAAATCCACTTTTTTTTGCTGATAAACGGTATAAATGAGTGTCCAATAGTGTTGTCTACATATCCTGGTCATAATCTTGTCACTTTGGTGCAAATTAGTTGAAAGTTAGACTTTCTGCCTAAAACCGTCAGTGAGGCGCCATCTGCTGGCGACCTGTATTACTACATTTGAATTTTGAATCTGGCGCCAACACTGGCACAGAAGTTGGACCTGACGTCTGCAAGTTGGACCTGACGTCAGCAGCCCCCCACCCAGAGCAATGTAAACGGCCCAGTCTCGTTCACGCCCCCTTTAGTCCTCCAGGCTACGCCCATTTAGAGGAAGATTTGAACAGGAAATGTGAGTAACGTAAGCTCCGAGGAGCGGGGGTGAGAACCACTTTAAACAGAAGTTGTATACACATCATTCGAATCACACTTCCAACAAGGAACAGTCTTACTTTGAGCAGCGTAGAGGGGTGAAGAAAGGGTTTGGAGATGAATGGCCAGTCCACGTGTTCTCTTTTGTCCGGGCAGGCGGGAGACACGAAGCCAGCGGATCTAGTCCAACTTTGATCCACGCATATACAACGCAGTCCGGAATGCGTTGCGTGCGTAGGGTCCAGAGCCAGAAAAGAGGCTGATGGTGGAACAGTTCGTGAGATCCCGAGCCAGAAAGGAGGGCTGTGCTCGCGGAGTGGAAGGCCCAATGCGTACAGGCGCGGCTGTAGTAGGAGACACGTACCGCGGGACGCCGAAGGGAAGGCTGTTACAGTGATTACAGGGGAGCCAAGAGGGAGAGTTACAAATTGTGTGTGTTTATATTGACTTCTAAAGGGGGCGCGTCCGTGACGTCATCCTTGTGCGTCTCTCTAGACCAACATGTCCCAAGGCAAAAACACATCATGCAGACATCCACAATCAGCTGCAGGATTAATACCAACACTCATAACACATGTACAGGCGCACAATGCATTTACATTACTGATAACGATACACACGTGTAGGGCACAATACAGGTTATCCGAATAGTGGCTTCCCGGGTGATTGTTTAGACTGTCCGACCGGGTGTGATAGTGTTCAGTGTCCACTGGGGGGCGCCATAGCGCCGTGGGTGAGTCACAGATTGTCTCAGAGCTGTGGAATGTCCCTGGAGTGAGCAGATTATTGATCTCTGATCTCTGCCAGGCAGAAAGGCACAAAGATGTTTGTTCTGGGGCTCGGTTTATGGCCTTGGTTGACACTTATGGTCTCGGTGACCGATGATGTCCTCTAGTTGACCTGGTCGTCTCTTAGATGTGCGTCCAGATGGGTCCTGCTCAGGAGGGCATGTTTGCATATGTTGGGTTGCTGGTTAACGTCCGACTGGCTGTCCTTTAATTCACCTTACATAATCAAAGTCCAAAATAAATAAGTTTTGGCTAAAGATCTATTGACTGATGTGTTTTGTATTTTTACTAAATCTAATGAAATGTTGGAAGATTGACTTTAAAATGAGTGTTGATATTGGAGATTTCTTAATAACGACAAGAATCTACGAAATGTATGAATTTAACCATTGATATTTATAGAGTGTTGTTATATGTAACTCATGTGTAACTAATAAACTATATATGTATTTAAAATAAGGTATAACATGCCATTTTAGCCATAATAACATACCATCAATGCAGCAAAGTAATCATAATTACTAAAATAAGTTCTGAGGCAACTAAAAATGAGTCTGACACCTGTGAAATACTGTATTAGTTTGTTATGTGAATTTGTTAATTGTTGATGAACCGGAATTAAAAAAAAAACAGTATAAATATTGTACTTGGTTTTTAGCTTTAAAATGTTAGAGTTTTGCACCGTTTGTGGTAATTGCTGTGGTTATTCTTTCCTTCAGCCTCCTCCTCAGATTTATGATAAACAACTGGATGAGAGAGAACACTCCATCGATGAGTGGAAACGTAAGTACTCCAACAATACTGCGCCGAATACAGCGGGGCAAAAAAGTACTCAAAAAAGTATTCATTCAGACACTTAGTTACCGACAGTGCAAGACAGTCCTCCCACTTACAGAGATCAGAGATTTCTGTACGTTTTGTGCTTCTTCTCTGGTTGATGTTTGCAGAGTCTGTTTGGTTTGGACCATTTTCTCTGCTCTGGTTCAGAGTGAAATTCTGTATGCTTTATTAGCCTTAAAAAAATATATATATTAGCATTCCTCCAGTGGATCTAGTCTTGATCTGCTCGGTTGGGACCATCCTCTCTGCTCTGGTCTGGATCAGTGTAAAACCATGAACACTTCACTGTAGTAACATTTACAGCAAGAAAAACACAATAAAAATAATTATTTTTGACTGTTTCCGAGCGACTTGAGACATGTCGTTTCCTCCGCATGTATAATAAAGTTATGATGGGTAATAAGTATTTATTACCTTTATTGGTGATGACAGAGGTAGAAAATTCCAAGTTTTCACAATCTTTTCACTCACTGCTGTTGGTATTTTGGCCCATTCCTCCATGCAGATCTCTTCTAGAGCAGTGTTGTTTTGGGACTGTCGCTATGGGCAACACAGGCTTTCAACTCCCACTAAACATTTTCTATGGGGTTGAGATCTCGGCCACTTCAGGAGCTAGTGATTTTATTATTTTATTTTTCTCATTTAGTCTCTCACAGTTGAGGTATAGCTATGATTAAAATGACATCTCATCATTTTTAATTGAGAGGACTTGCAAAATCGGTGGCAGACTAAACACTTTTTGTTTTACCTCACTGTATTCTAGTGGTGGGGGAAAATTGATTCTATTCAGTATCGCGATATTTTGCAGACGCAATTGGATGGATACAGTAGAGTAAAGTAATACAATATTTGATTCAATGATTATCTCACACTTCACATAGTTTACTCTGGTAGTTTACATCTGAAATCTTATGACGTTTTCCTTTTGTTGCCCCGGTCTATTGTATTTGAATAATCATGTCTTATTTTCCTTAACTTCCTCAATATATCACAGAATTGAATCACAATACTTTCTGTATCGCAATATGTTCATAATAATATTGAATTGTGGCCCAAATATCGCGATACTATTCAATCGTCACATTTTTTCCATTTCCCACCCCCGCTGTATTTGGTGTGAATACTGATCCTGATCTTCTTTCAGAGTTAATTTACAAAGAGGTGATGAACTTTGAGGAGAGAACAAAGAATGGCGTAGTGAAGGGACAGCCTTCACCTTCAGGTACTGCATAACTAATGGCTCTGTAAGTGAATTTATTACAAACTACTGGAACTGCTCTAGATCAGGGCTGTCAAACTGATGCTCAAAGGGCTGCTGTGGTGTGGCTGCGGGTTTTCATTCCAACCAAGCAGGAGCACACCAGACTCCACCCATTTCCAGTGAGCCTAGTCTTTACCTGAGCACTTGAGGGAATGGGTGGAGTGTAAGAACCTGGTCTCCAAGATGTCTGCCCATTCAAGTCAAGGCCCTGTGCTCATTGGCTCATGCTTGCACCATGAACGTAGTAAGCATTAGCAGAAGGGCTCTGGTTAGGGTTCTCCTGGTCTTCTGCAGTAGGTATGCAGAGGTTCTACTACTGCAGGACCAGAGAGACACAGAGATAGACTAGAGTGAGAGAGACCACAGAGACACCAGAGAGAGACTCGTGTGAGACCAGAGAGAGACCAGAGAGAGACTAGTGTGAGACCATAGAGAGACCAGAGGGAGACTAGTGTGAGACCAGCGAGAGACCAGAGAGAGACTAGTGTGAGACCATAGAGAGACCAGAGGGAGACTAGTGTGAGACCAGCGAGAGATCAGAGGGAGACTAGTGTGAGACCGGCGAGAGATCAGAGGGAGACTAGTGTGAGACCAGAGAGAGATCAGAGGGAGACAAGAGAGAGACCAGAGAGAGACTAGTGTGAGACCAGAGAGAGATCAGAGGAGACCAGAGGGAGACTAGTGTGAGACCATAGAGAGATCAGAGGGAGACTAGTGTGAGACCAGAGAGAGACCAGAGGGAGACTAGTGTGAGACCGGCGAGAGATCAGAGGGAGACTAGTGTGAGACCAGAGAGAGACCAGAGGAGACCAAAGGGAGACTAGTGTGACACCAGAGAGAGATCAGAGGGAGACAAGAGAGAGACCAGAGAGAGACAAGAGAGAGACCAGAGAGAAACAAAGAGAGACCAGAGAGAGACTAGTGTGAGACCAGAGAGAGACCAGAGGGAGACAAGCGAGACCCCAGAGAGAAACATAAAGAGAGACCAGAGAGAGACTAAAATGTCTACAAATCCGACCTCTGTGAAAGCTGTAGGTTCCTTGTCAGTTGAGGACGAGCCGTGCCGTTGGTCATGTGCTTGGAATGAAAACCTGCAGCCACACCTGCCCTTTCTGAAAGCAGTTTGACACCCCTGCTCTAGATAGACACCCATTGTGCCGTCCTCCATGTGTCCCTGTCTCTCCTATGTGCTTCGACACCACTTTTGACAAGAGACACATAGACCGGGCTAAATATTGTTAGCTAATGTGTTAGCTGTTAGTTGGCTAATGTGTGGTAAATGAGTATGAAAGTGTATATTCTCTGAAACCTACGTTGATAATTGCGTGTGCACAAACATATCATGGTTGGCTCAAGATTTAGTCCACTCAGGATCATCAACTGTCAAGAGCAATTCTCTCTGTTGTCCACAAGAGGGCAGTACATTCACGAGATCAACCTCCACGAGGGCACCATGTGATCTCACACGCATCTGTGTCAACCATGGATGTATTATATTGTCAACATGAAGACTGCAGCTACACATGGTTCAGGAACATTAAACATTGACCATAGACTTCAAATCTTAGACATTAACACAGGAATCCTAGATTTCTGAAACTACTAGAGCTCCCAGAATCCCTTTCAAATCAATGAGACTTGAAACAAATCTCTATAACAGTTAGTTTTCCACCAGTTTTATTAAAAGCATCTAATTTATGTAGTGTTTCACTTTTAATAAGCGCTAAAACTGGTGAATGATATTTGGTACAACATACTGCAATAACAGTTTGTTGTACCAAATGCTAACTGCTAACAGTAAACAGTGTGTTGCTATGGTAACAAGAGCTGTCCATTTCACGACCAGTCCAAAAACAGCACTAGCCATGGACTACAAGATCATTTCTTCTATAACAAAAAAAAATAATAAAGTTAATGAAAAATCATTAAATAGAAAAAAACCAACATATCGATAAAGAAAATTATTGTGTTAATTCAATCACTTCATCTCTGGCCGTCGGCTTTAAACATGAAATATAGCCCCAAAAAGCACAGTTTGACCGAGATCAACATGTTTATTTGGCCCTCAAGCTTCTCTGTCATTTTGTGATAAATCGGATACAACTTTTAAGGTGCCCTGAGGTTATCAGCAAAAAAACCTTTAATTATTCATTGAATTTACTGTGGCCATTGATTACATTTCGATAATTTGGCTTTGTCCCATTGACAAATCTGCAATGAGTGACAATTGTTTCTTGAACTTTTTAGCTTGTTTAATATCATATACTCGGGGGGAGGTGTATTCAGATATGGATCGACTTCAAATGGCTAATAAACTGAATCTAAAAATCAAAACGTCTTGGTGCCTCAGTTGGATGAATCCTGGTGGAGCTAAACCTTAGCCACGTGTCTCCCACCATTGAAACACCATCTTATTATCGTATGTCCGTGTATTTTTAATCGTTCCCCAACTATTGCCGTGATCAGTCCTTCTCTACCATGGATCTTTTATGTTCTCTACCCGTCTCCGTCTCTGTTATGTCGTGACCCCTCGGGCTTCTTTCCGTAGCACAGGTGCAGCCGTGAACAGCAGCGACAGCCCCCCTCCGTCCTCCTCCATCAACGACATTTCCTCCATGTCCACCGACCAGACCCTGGCCTCAGACACTGACAGCAGCCTGGAGACCTCCGCCGGACCCCTGGGATGCTGCAGGTGACTAGCCGCCTGCCTGCGAAACCCAATGTTCTTCAGGAGATGAACGAACAAACTCCCCCCCCCCCAAAAACAAAGAATGAAAAGAAAAAGAAAAAAAAAACCCAATAAAAACATGAGTAACGAGATCTTACGCCTGTGCATTGTCGTTCCAAAAATCAAGCAGTGGTATTTAAAAACGAGATTATAACGTTGCTTAACCTTGTTGCTTTGCATATATACTACCTTTATGTTTGAAAATGGGCGTGAAAAGCCTCTTCGATTTGCATTTTTTTGTGGATAACGTGGATATTGGCTGGCAACTCTTTACACAGGCATACGAGCTCTGTCTATTGTGGTCAAGGTGGGCTTCCATAGTTTTGCTTATAGCTATATATAAATGTACAATGTGACCAACCTTTACCTTTATTGTCTCTCCACGACTGTTTTAACCTCCACTCTCACTCCTCGATGAAAAGGTCGCCTGGTTTGTGCATCTGTATGTATAATTCTGCAGGGATTTCTATGGATTTCTTGTATATATGTAATTCTGTACAGGTGTAACGAGAGGATACACAGAAGTGGGACAGAAGGCCAGTATGATAATGAGTTTTTTTTCTCTTTTTACGATAGCGCACCTTGCCACAAACCTGCTTTACACTTGTGTTGCCCCCCCCCACACACACACACACACTGCACTTTCTGCTGCTGTATTGCATGGTTAGAATGAAAAAACAATGCGCTGTAAGCTGTACAAAAATAAAATATTGAAAATAACTTTAACAGATGGGGGTGCATTCACTGAGGTGTAAATTACTGTGATTTTTCCGAGTTCGGGTAATCCACAATCTCCCATTTTTTCTCAATCTCTGTAAAAGAGAAAAAGGTGTGTTTCCCACTGTCTCCTCTGCGAACATATTATTAAATATTTAACCTGGTTCTTGTCAGTGTCTGGCCAGGGCTGTATCTATTTTTGAAATACAAAAACAGGGTGCAAATATACTTCCATCACTCCCACCATCACAACGTCATAATCATCGCCATTTTCTACAACACCACCATTTTTTATTTATTATCAAATGTGAGTTTTATGGGATTCATTGTACGATAGATGCTTTTTTTGGGGAATAAATCTGTTGTGAAGAAATCTATAGCATTGAATGTACTTTGGATTACACCAGGCCATTTCGGATTCGCCATAATCTACGTGTGAAAATATGTGACTTTATTTTTGACTATCATTTCTATTCAAACCGATGAATACTGTTTAGATTCATTGAAGGAATGTCCCGTGGATCCTGGCTCATGTTTGAAACGGTCCGAATCCTTCACTGTCGACGTTGACACAAAATACATTAAAAAACTGTATATTTATTTGTTGTAATTAGGCCTTTGCCAATTCTCCTTATTCTCACTGATTCTAATTTCTTTCTTATTTCGAGTTGATGACCTCTCTCTCTCTCTCTTTCGCTCTCTGTGTCTCTCTCCTTCTCTCTCTTTTTCTCTGTCTCTCTCTCTCTTTAGGCTCTCTGTATCTCTCTCTCTGGTCTGTCTCTCTCTCTCTCTTTTTCTCTGTCTCTGTATCTCTCTCTCTGGTCTGTCTCTCTCCTTCTCTCACTCTTTTTCTCTGTCTCTCTCTCTTTAGTCTCTCTGTATCTATCTCTCTCTCTGTGGTCTGTCTCTCTCTCTTTGGTCTCTCATTCTCTGGTCTCTGTCTGTCTCTTTCACTCTGTATTTCTCTCTCTCCCTCTTTCGTTCTATCTCTGTCTCTTCCTCTCCCCCCTCTCTCTCTGTCTATCTCTTTCTCTCTCTCTGTCTCCCCCCTCTCTCTCTGTCTATCTCTTTCTCTCTCTGTCTCCCCCCTCTCTCTCTGTCTATCTCTTTCTCTCTCTCACTCTCTCTCTGTCTATCTCTTTCTCTCTCTCACTCTCTCTCTCTCTACCTCCTCTTTCTTGTAAATACCATCTAACAATGCAATAACCGATATTGCACAGTAAAACAGGTTAAACATGGATCAGGCGACTCACTTCGAAGACCCGTCTCCTTCTTTTCTTTGGCACCGTTTGAACTCCTCCGTTTCCCGTCGGGTAAAAACTATTCTTGTGTTTGTTGCTGATCTCGAAGCTTTGAGCTTTAAGCATTTCAAATAAAGTTGAAACAAAAGGTGATGACATTTATGAATACATGAAAAACAAAAAAGCTGTTACACAACAATTTAAAGGAACTGTGTCTGTAAAAACAGTATATGTATGTGACTGAAATAAACTCAATCTTTAAACTGGCTTTTTGTGTTTTATTTAGGATTCATTTTGGATTTAAGTAACAATATCCTCCATGATTATTAACCTCACTCTGCTCCACATTTATATCATTCTAAAGTGGCAGACAATACAATAAACAAGTGCAATTTCTGAAATGTGCTCTCCCAAATGTATAAGAAAATGTTAGCTAGCATTGTCCATTTGTATACAAGTCTATGGTTTGAATAAGTATCATACATTGCTTTCTTGACATTAAAACAGCCCGGAGATCATTTAATGTAGACTTTATTCATAACAAGACATCTCTAAACTCTCAAGTATTGTTTCCTTCCTTCTGGAGTCCTTAGTGACTGCAACATCGGCGAGAATAAACTCAAATGAAAATAAAAACCACCATTTTGAAGCAATTTATTTCCTCATATTTCATCATTTTTGTGCAGTGTATATACTATATCCTCTTAAATACATTTATATATGATACAATAAAGGTATATTTTAACCATGGCTCATCGTGCAAGACTTTTTGAAACTATAAAACATGTAACAATATGACAACACATGCCATTTTTTCATCTTCAAATACGTAGCATTTCCAATATTTTATACAATATTTACAGTAAAGGGTTATTTTTGTTTTTACAGTCATTAGTCACCGTTTATGTCACACTCACCATTTTGGGCGTTATATACACACTGTACCATCCAACCCTAATGTAGCACTTATGTTGCTAATTAAATAGCTAGTTACAATAAATACTCACAATAGTAGTTCAACAAGTTCAGTAGTTAGGCTAGTTCAACTCAGAAAGAATAGATAAGACTCAGGGAGAGAAGAGGCAAAGACTGGGTTTGTAGTTGCATATTAAAAAGGTACCATGTATTGTACACAATTAGACAATATTGACAATAGAATTAGAATGGCCATTCACACATACTCAAATCCCATATACACTCAATACACAGAACAGAAGGCAATATATATATACACACACAAGTCATAGGTTTAGAGTTCAATATTTACACGTGACCCGTGGGCCACTCGCACAACACAATTGGAACTGCACGCGCTCAACAGAGCGAAATCCACACGACCCGAGAATTGTTTTGAGTCCAGAGGTAAGTGTCCGTGTGAGGAGTGAAAAGGAGGCAATGGTTGGGGTCGTGGATAAAGTGCAAGGTGCGAGAGTTTGTATGGTTGGCTGCAAGAGCCTCCTACCAGCCCTATTGAGGTCGGTGGGTTCAGGTTTTCAAGCAGGTCCAGGACTAGTTCCAGTTCTTTAGCTCGCCATCAAAACCTGGCCTGTATAACAGAACAGTACCCTCATTAACTCCATTTAGTATATCCCTTGTATTATGTTAAGGGTCAATTTGACCCATTTCAGTTTTTGAGTTGATCAAAGTACTGGTTATCCTTTCTTTTTCTTGCTGAAATTTGGTGACTTTTCCTCATCTAGGGTCATGAACTGATGTGTAAAATCTGGACAATTTGTTGTGTAGTGGAATGTCTGTGCAGAGTTTGTATACAAAGATGATGTTGCGGGTCATTTTGACCCAGACGCTTTAATGTGGGTAAATAGTTGTTCAGATCCAAAAAAACATGTCTCTTTGACATTGTATTTTGATTGCCTCTGAGACCCAGAGCCAGGTGTGTGAAGAGAGGGAACTTTCTCACACTTGTCCTTGTCACTGTTCTCATGTCATCTCTTTTGCCTAGCGTACATCGTACTGGCAACTGATTATATCCGTCGCATATGAGTTGCTGCCCCGCACACATCGACAATCTGGCGTAAACGGGCAACTCCTAGTAGCAGACCAGTCTCGGGAATCACAGGAATAATAGTTGACAGCAACTGGCCTCAACTACAGTGTGTTTTCTGACATAAACTGTAGAGGGCGCGCAATACACGCAATACACACATGTTGTTGGAGCGCGCACATCGGGTGATATCTCCGGATCTGAGGACAACTAGTTGCCGAAAAGTAGAACACGTGCAACTGACTGAAACCGGAGATCGACTGTTTATCTCCAGTTGTAAGAGCGTAGGGCGGCACGGTGGCTGAGTGGATAGCACTCTCGCTTCTCAGCAAGAAGGTCCTGGGTTCAAATCCTGGTCGGACCAGGGCCTTTCTGAGTGGAGTTTGCATGTTCTCCCCGTGTCTGCGTAGGTTTCCTCCGAGAACTCCGGTTTCCCCTACCACTAAAAATATGTCCAATAGTTCTGGCATGCGCCTCCTGTACTGGCGACCCCGCTCCCATCTCTGTGTGGAGTGAGAGACAAATGCCCAAAAATTAACAATTGTAAACTGCTTTGAGACTCAGATCTGCAGTGAAAAGGCGGTATATAAATAAAGACTACTATAAAGACTACTACTACTAAGAGCGTTCACATCGACCGATTTCGGCAACTGATCATCTCCATCATCTACTTTCAGTTGCCAAAAGCCGCCTTGCAACTAGTTGTCTCCAGTTACTCTGTCAATGTGCGCTAGGCTTTAGACAAACTCAGCAAAAATGAGCTTCAGAAGGATGACATCTGAGGAGGCTTTATCACAGATTTTTAACTGGGATAATGATGTAGAGGAAGAGACTTCAGAAACAGAGGATTTTTCAGAGACAGAGGACAATGTTATTGCTGATCCAGATTGTCAATTTTCCTACAATAAGGAGGATTCAGAGGACGAATCTTTGGTCAAGGAAAGAGGAAGGGAGGACGGAGGGAAGGTAGGAAGGAAGGAAGGGAGGAAGAGAAAAGAAGGGAATAGA